TAGTTTCAGAACCAAGGACAGCGCCCGTGCCCCAGCTCTCCCGTTTCTGTCTATTCTACACCTACAGGAGTTGTGTGATCAAATTTCCCCCAAGTCACAGGTTAAGTCAGATCTCTCACAAATCACTCTAAGAAAATAATGCTAGTAATATAAAATAATAGAAGCAATACATGTGTTGTTTTCTTTAATTCTCATAACAACCCTGTAAGTTTCCCAGCTAATAGTTGAGAAACAAATTCAGAAGGAGGTCAAGTGGCTTGTCTAAGGTCACATGGGTAGTACATATTAGAGCCAGAATTAAAATCTAAATTAGGCATCTATTATTTTTATTGAATTTGACATCTCTAATTACATAATTGCTTGCCAAAATTATTCTCTGAATAATTTTTCTGTAATAAAGCACTGTTTTCTAGTAACACTATCAGAATTATGTGCACTTTACCATATGAGACCGTTAGTTAAAACATAATTAATCTTGAGATATTGAGCTCCCATGAAGCCAGGTAATAGGTGGAGTCCCAAGCAAGGAGTCATACTTTAAGACTGAGGCAGGCCCTAGCCAGTTTGACTCAGTGGATAGAGCTTCGGCCTGCGGACCGAAGGGTCCCAGGTTCAATTCCGATCAAGGGCACATGCCTGGATTGCAGGCTGGGTCCAACGTGCACAAGGCAGTCAATCAATGATTCCCTCTCATTATTGATGTTTCTAGCTCTCTCTTCCTCTCCCTTCCTCTCTGAAATCAATAAAAATATATTTATTTTTAACAAAAAGACTGAGGCAGGATCCCCCACTTAATCACTGCCTTCAATCTTACCCTGTGAGTTACTGCCACCAATAGGGAGGAATCCAAGAGGGGAATGAAAGTCAAGGAAAATTACTATCTTTCAGAGACTTTGCTAGGCATTTTTGCAATGTTTTGAAATTTAATATTTACTTTTAAAAATAAAGTATTTTCCATTATAAATACATATTCAAGAGGGAAAAATGGCCAAAAGGAAAAATTCATTTTTTTCAATACCCAAAGATAACCACTCTATTTGTGTTTACTCAACCATAGTCTTTTCTATAAAGTTAATTGCAATAAGTGTGGGAACAAGTTGGTCAAGGTCGACCCCTTCCCCCATCCCTGCTTCGAACAAAGTTGTTAAGCATTGCCCTGGCCGGTGTGGCTCAATTGGTTGAGTGTCTTTCCTGCACCTAAAGGTTGCCTGTTCTGAATGCAGAATCTTAGAGGGAAGGTGGGGAAGGTGGGTGGGTGGGAAGAGATCAACCAAAGAACTTGTATGCATATATGCATAACCCATGGACACAGATAATGGTGTGGTGAGGGTCTGGGGTGCTGGGGTGGAAGGGACTTGAAGGGGTCAACAGGGGGGAAATGGGGACATACGTAATACTTTCAACAATAAAGATTTTTTAAAAAGAAGAAGGAAGAAAGGTTGCCTGTTCAGTTCCTGGTCACAGCACATGCCCAGGTTGTGGACTTGATCCCCAGTAGGGGGCGTGCAAGAGGCAGCCGATTGATGTTTCTTTCTGTCTCCCTTCCCCTGTCTCTAAAAATCAATAAAAACATTTTTTTAAAAAAAAGTTAAGCATTGACTAGCTAAACATATTGGGGCTTCAAGTAAACTGTCATTTGAAGAAAATGTATCATTAGTTTTTTAAATTAAAGCTTTAAATTTTTATCAGGTAAAGATTTTAGCTGAACTTGTGGATATTTTTAAGTTGAACTTCAATTGTAAACCATAAATATTTGTAGCTGATCTATTGAGCCCCTAGGAAGAATCTCATATACGGGAATTTCAGCAACTCTAGTATCAACTTGCTATCTACTTAAACAACACTAGGGGGTAGCAGGTGATCTTTCTTTTCTCTTCAAGTAGTAAAATCATTGTGTGTGACTGTGTTTTCCTCCCTCGAGGCTATGAAGAACAGTGAAAAACTGGAAATAGCCTTGGGGGAAATTTGTGTGTGTGTGTGTGTGTGGAGGGGCGGGGTGATAGAAAAGTTCTAAAATTAGATTGTGCTGACGACTCGCGAATTTAAATCACAAACTTACTAAAAAGCCTTGAATCACAGCAAATAAAAGTATAAAAAGAAAAAATTGCTAAAATAAACTTTTCTATTCATGGTATATATTGAGAGCATTCTTATACTACTTTACATATTCAGAAGGAAACTCTCCACTTAGGTACAAGTTAAAATTATAATTCATTTATATAATCTGAAATGCTTCGACCACTGTACTTTTATTCCTTTAATCTGCATCTTTTCAAAGTTGCATGACAACATCAGAAAATCACCATAATGCTACATGTAACTAATTAACCAGTATAATACATATTTAGTATCGCTTTTCCTGAGTTATATACTACTACAGAAATTGCAACAACCTGGTTTTTAGTTCTAGGATGAACTTGTAATAAGCTCTATGAACTTGCAAAAGTTACTTAACCTCTCTGGCTCTTAACCTAATCTGTAAATTTGGAATAAAACTTTCTCATAGAGATTTTGTGGGGATTTACTGGGTTTGACATCAATAACATGAGAAGGGGGGCGGGGGGGATGTTACTGAAACTACATGGCAATTATGCTTCTCAAAGAGTGTTATCATAATTCTCTTTTGCAAAACTAAATCTCTGAGCTCTATTTACAGATACTATTGAGAAAGAGGAAACAAACCAAGTCCGAATGCCTTGGCCAGTGATGTTAAGTTTACAATCTGAAGTAGGCAAATAGCCTCTTATTTTAAATAAAGACACAGATATAACAACTATTACAAATTCCAGGGGTTGGGGTGGAGGGACTAAAGCACTCGAGTTTAAGACAAGGATGTTTCATATTCTATTCTTATCTGTTTGTTATTGTATCGTAACCAAGTTTTTCATTTCCAAGCCTCCCCTAAAATCCACTATACAAACAAAAGCCCTGTGTGAGTAGTTTCAGGGAAAATCAAGGCAAAGACGTTGAGTCCCACCCCTGGCTTTGTGTGGAGCAGAAAGAGCAGCTGCAGAGACAAACAAGATCAGAGTCTTAGGAGGAAGACCATCTCGGGGCTAGCTCTTACTGAACACAAGCCTTGAGAAGCACATTGAACTTCTTAGGATTTCACAGAAGTCTTGGGAAGCACATTGCACTGTTTAGATCCCAAACTAAAAGAACTGGGTTAAAGATGGAATAATATATAAATTATTAGTACAGTGGCTAACACACACACACACACACACACAATATGTATACAGTTGAGCCTAATTATTCATGGTTCTGTACTTGTGAATTCACATATCATTAAAATTTATCTGTAACCCCAAACAATACTTAAGACATTTTGCAGTCATTTGCAGACATGCACAGAGCAGCAAAAAATTTGACTCACCCAATACATGCGTTCCAGCTGAGGCTGACCATGGCAACGCTCTGCCTTCTTGTGTTAGCTCTCATAATATAAACATCTTTTGCAGTTTATTTAGTGCTACATTTTTCACATTTTTGTGCTTTCTTTTTTGGTGATGCTGCTGTTTAAAATGGCCCCCCAAGTGCAATACTGAACTGTTGTTGAAAGTAGCTAAGTGAAGAAGGCACAGAGGCATGACACAAAAAATACCTGTTAAACAAGATTTGTATGGGTATTAGTGATAGTGCTGTTAATGAAGCAACAATATATATTAACTAGGGTGTCTTTAAACAGAAACACTGCAATACAATTCTGACACAGACCACCCAGGATTAGTATCAGACTCCACAGGTTAAAGGGCACAGTCCCCAACAACACTGCCATTTCTTCAGATGCCAGCCACGAGTTTTGGGGGGCTCCAGGCCATCCGCACTTCTGACCAATTGGCTACAAATTCAGGGGTTCCAATGACCCCCTCAGATTCAATAATTCATTAGAATAACTCACAAAACTCTGGAGAGTGCTACGGTATGATTACTGTTCTATTATAAAGAAGAGACACATAGGGCAAGGTCTGGATGAGAGTGTGTGGGAGAGGAAGACGGGGAGGGAGAGGGAGAGGGAGAGATTTACAGACCCTAATTAGAGTGGGTTAACAGAGACTAGGAAAACTAGAGACAAATGGAGGAATTTGCTGAAAAGGGACAAAGAGAATGGGGTGGTAGATGAAGGGGCAAGGAGGTGAAGTAGAATTTTTGGACTGGGCAGGATGTCCCTGATTCTTTGCCCACGGACAGAAGGTGGTATAGTAAAGGTGGAAATTTATTAAAGAACAAGTATAAACTCCCATGCGGGGAGGGTGAAAGAGTCCACAGCACAGACTACCACGTGGGGAGGGGAAGAGTCCCATTGAGTTTCTTTGCCCTACGGCTTATAAGGCTACAGATTCTTGTACCTTGCTATCCCCTCTGATTGGTCACTATTCCCTTGGACTGGTTACTATAGTAACTCCTGGGCTTAAAGGTTGAACCTCACATGGGACATGTGAGGTCCTCTCACCTCCCCCTCCTTTCTTATTGTTTTCCTATTTTGGGGGGCTTTTCTCTCTTCTTCTGGATGAAGGGCTTCCTTCCCTTTATTTTTTAAATATAGACCTTTCTTGGCTACTTCCATTTCCCTTGTCTTATGGAAATATACCTATTG